TAATACATTTCTAAAAAATATGTTTAAAATTTTAATACATTGAAATAGGTTTAAAGTTGATACAAATTTCAGGATTTTTTTAGTCAACAGAACACCTATTTCTTAAATCATAAATGTTCTCTGTGACATTTAAGGAACACAATTTGCAGTAAGATATGAGAGACCTTTCATTTAGTGAAAATCTTTTTTTACTTGCACTGTTTAATTCCTATTCCAGGGCTGTGCTGTTGACCATAATATTTTAACATATTGAACATATTTAAATAATTTTTAAATAATTTTAACATATTTAAGTATATTCGAAGTTTTAATACATTTAAAACTTAATTAACCTAAACATTTAATACATTTCTAAAAAATGTTTGAAATTTTAATACATTGAAATAGGTTTAATGTTGATACAAATTGTGTATAATATGATCTTATATGATATGATGTGATAATATAATATAATTAATATAATATAATTAATATAATATAGATGTCGATAATGTATAGATGTAAATATGCTTTTCCTCTGAAATTTCTAATTCAGTCTCAAGTTTTCTCATCCTAATTCACATAAAATTTCTAATTCAAGATTTTCTCCTCCTCATTCTCATAAAATTTCGAATTCCAAGTTTTCTCCTCCTAATTCCCAGCTTTGCTGATATGCTCAACTCACTGCTGTCTGCAATTCTCTGTAATTCTCATTACAATAAGACACAAGTGTAAATAAATACACTTTTCTTATTTTGCATCTCAATTCCTGAATGACTTGGATGCTTTACTGCACTTCCTGCTTTCATCAGGACGAAAGAAGATTATAAAACACACACCAGAAATAAAATTTTCACTCGGGTTTTCTGATTATAAAAAACAAGAAGGGGTAGAAGCTGCAATCCAAGAGGGTCATAAAGAACTTTGGGAAAAAAAAAAATCAAATATGTAGCAGAGTTCCTATATTAGAATGTGAATTTAAAGGTCAGGTGTGGTGGCAGCAGGTCANTTTCTATTTAAATGTGTGGTTTTGGGGTCCCTGCATCAATCCTGCTCTGCTCCTTGAGGTTCTGCAGGAAAAGTTCTGTTTGGATGAAATTATGAGAACTTGGAACAAAAATAAGGAAACAATGGATCCTGAGGTTGCTCAGGCATAAGTTCCTTCCATTTTCTGCCTGCCTGCTGTCCCAAAAGGGGTAGGATTGGGGTCATGTTTGATATTTATATTTTCTTCCCTCAATCTGCATCTCCCTGCCTTGAAATCAGCCTGGCAACTCCTTCCCTAGAGCTGAAATAAATTATGATGCTCAGGGCTTGAGAGGAATATCAACTAAAACCTCACAGTTCTTGTAGGAGCTTGTAAAACTGCCCAAATAAAAACTGAACTGGGGAAATTAAAGCAGAGAAATAGAGAGAGATACAAGAGCCTCGGAATCATGGATCTCTGGGGGCTGGGGGATGTTGGGCTTGGGGAATTCTCAGGGAATTTTTCAGGCTGGCCCAGCATGGTTCTTGCCTTGCCCTGATATTAAAACAGGTTTTGCTGTGTTTTGTGGCGCTCAAATGCTCCTTTCATGGCAGCCAAGCTTTCCTTCTGGCCCTATCATCTGGCATAAAAAATGTGTTTAAAGCAGGAAATCTTAAACCTGATTATATAATATATATACAATATAACATATAAATGCTGTATTATATGTTATATAATAATATAAATATATTATAAAAATATATGTAGATAATAATACAATATATAAAAATAATATTTTAGATAAAGAATATAATATTTAGTGTTATGTTATACTATACTATATTATAGTATATAGTATATACTATTTATAGTATAGTAGGTTATAGTATATAGTATAGTTATACACTATATTATATTATATTATACCATACTATATATTTAATATTAGTATAGTATAGTATAATATAGTATATAACTATACTATATATTATACTATATATATTATACTATATATTACGCTATATATATTATATACTACATTTATTATAATAATTGTTATAGTGTATTATATAAATTACATTATATATAGTATAATTTAGATAATATAATTATATAGATTACATTAGATATAATTATGTTTTATTTTGAATATATATTATTTTTATACGTAATTATGTTTTATATTATATATGTATCTTATGTCTTCTTCTTGCCCTATCATCTGTCATNGAAAGGGGCAGGGTCTCAAGGGACCTGAGGAAGGGACCCGGAAGCTAAAAACACACCACAACACCTGTCCCTGGGCATGGCTGACCCAAAATCCCCGAGCTGTCCTTCCCTGGGATGGGGCAGGGAGGGATCGGGGGTTTCTGCAGAGGGTGAGCGGTGCCACAGGGAGCTGGGGCTGCTGATGAGCTCAGAGCTGAAAGGCTGCACAGGCAGCACAGTGGGCATAAATGAAGTTGTAAATATCCAAGCTGTAAGCATCCATCCTGTGGAAAACATGGAGTGAGCAGGGAGGGGACTGAGGGATGTACCCACATGCTCAGGACCAGGATCTGATGGTGCTGGCTGCCAAAAACCCCTTTTGTGCCTCTTGCTCACTCTAAATTAGAGATGTTCATTTTTCTCTAG